TTTTAGAGTTAGGGTCTCACTATTTTTCCCAGCTGGCTTCCAAAATTTGATAATCTCCTCTCTCTGCCTCCTGTGTCTTTTCTGCTTTTTTTTAAATACCAACTCAGCGGTTGATTAGAGAAAGAGCTAAATATCTTGAGTTTCAGAGACAGAAGATAAAATTTTAGGACAAAAATTAGAAATCATTGTGTAATTACAAAAGTAGAGAAAAATGCCTTAATAAAATATAGATATTTAAAGTTCAACAATTTAAAAAATGACCTAAGGAACTTTTTAAAAATAAATTAAAACCTTTTTAATTGTTATTAACAAACTAACATTATTTTTGGGGTTCATTGTAAATTTTAGTCTGTGTTATTACAACATGTGATTGATCAATTCAGTAGTGGCCATCTCCATCAAGCCAGATAAGCTGTATTTTTTTGTGCTGGAACATTCAAAATTCCTTTACAGGTAAGTGCTATGATCTTCCACTGTACTTCTTGGTTTTCCCTTTAGATGTGGGGCATTTCCTTCTTTGAGTAGGTTAAGTAGACTCGATATATTCTCAGTAGGTAGGTTTTAGTAAAATAATGCTCTTGAGGATTCAAGCTCAATTAAGAAACACAATTACACTGGTACATTAAAAATTGATCCTTTTCAACCTCTTACACTGTGTGGGGAATGTAGACTAGTACAACCACTCTGGAAAAAAATTTGGAGGCTACTTAAAAAGCTGACATCGATCTTACCATTTGATCCAGCAATACCAACTCTGGGGATATACCCAAAAGACTGTTACTCCAGAGGCACCTGCACATCCATGTTTATTGCGCACTATTCACAATAGCCCAAGTTATGGAAACAGCCAAGATGCCCCACACTGACGAATGGATTAAGAAAATGTGGTATCATACACAATGGATTATGCGCCATGAAGAAGAACGAAATGTTATCATTCGTGGTAAATGGGATGGAACTGGAGAACTCATTCTGAGTGAGGTTAGCCTGCCCAAAAGACCAAAAATCGTATGTTCTCCCTCATATGTGGACATTAGATCAAGGGCAAACACAACAAGGGGATTGGACTATGAGCACATGATAAAAGCGAGAGCACACAAGGGAGGGGTGAGGATAGGTAAGACACCTAAAAAACTAGCTAGCATTTGTTGCCCTTAATGCAGAGAAACTAAAGCAGATACCTTAAAAGCAACTGAGGCCAATAGGAAAAGGACCAGGAACTAGAGAAAAGGTTAGATTAAAAAGAATTAACCTAGAGGTAACACCCACGCACAGGAAATCAATGTGAGTCAATGCCCTGTATGCTATCCTTATCTCAACCAGCAAAAACCCCTTGTTCCTTCCTATTATTGCTTATACTCCTCTACAACAAAATTAGAGATAAGGGCAAAATAGTTTCTGCTGGGTATTGAGGGGGGAGCGGAGGGGTGGAGTGGGTGGTAAGGAAGGGGGTGGGGGCAGGGGGGAGAAATAAACCAAGCCTTGTATGCACATATGAATAATAAAAGAAAAATGAAAAAAAAAAAATGATTCCTTTCCCCCTTCCTCTGCCAGAAGCTCAAGCAGATTTTTTCTGTGAAAATTCATTGTTACAAACCTTTTAGAGCTACTGGAGGTAAAATTTGCAAAAAGTGTAGAGATCGCTGTATGAATTTCTCATTAATTTTATTGTGTTATGAAGACAGCACTTTAAAGCTTGTGAGTGATGGTTTTTGAAACAATATTATCTTGGTTGATCTTGTATAAGTTTTAACAGAAGCAGAGATTTGCTTGCTGAACGTTCAGAGATGTATTTTAGTGGTAGTTTCAGTTGTTTGTGTCTTTCTCTTTAGTACTTGGACCGTGAGACTGTTTCAGCCACATTCATTGACAGCAGTGGACAGTTTGTCTCCTCCCAGGCAACAGGCATTAGCCGGAGCCTCTACTGTGGCTATGAGCACCAGACCCTCTCCAGTCAGGAACGTGTGGAGGAGGACTCTCTGCTGTCTGGCTTGCAGGTGCCTGATGTGGGCCTGGTCCCTTTCGTGAAGAGCACTGACCCTTCTTCGAGCTACTTTGTCATCTTGAACTCTGCAGCCTTCTTCAAGGTGGGAAGCCAGCTGGAAGTGCTGGTTCATATGCAGGATTTTCAAGGAAAGCCCAAGAAATATGGTGGAGATTACCTGCAGGCCAGAATCCATTCCCCTGCCCTGCAAGCAGGAGCTGTGGGCAGAGTGGTAGACTACCAGAATGGGTTTTACAAGGTCTTTTTTACCTTGCTCTGGCCAGGCCAAGTTAAAGTGTCCATATCTCTGGTTCACCCCAGTGAGGGGATCAGAGTTCTTCAGCACCTACAGGAAGAGAAACCAGACAGGGTCTACTTCAAGAGTCTCTTTCGTTCAGGAAGAATTTCTGAAACTACTGAGTGCAATGTGTGTCTTCCTGGGAGTCTGCCCCTGTGCAACTTTACAGATCTCTACACTGGAGAGCCCTGGTTCTGCTTCAAACCAAAGAAGCTCCCTTGCAGCAGCAGAATTAACCATTTCAAAGGTGGATACCTCAAGGGCCTTCTAAGTGCTTCAGAGAGTGCTTTCTTCCAGAGGTATGTGCTCTTGTTATAGCAGGTAATTTAAAGACTCCCTTTCCCATTATCTTTGACCCTTATATATTCCTTATCTCTCTGAACTTGACCCAGTTCAGGAAAAATGGTAACAAAATAACACAGATTTGTAGTTATAATTACTATCTTAAAAGTGAAATTTAGTGCTTTTCAAAGTCTTTTACCCTTGAGTTTTATTCTTACCCTAATAGCCATGTTTTACTTCAGAACTACATTCTGTATTTATAGCTATAGGTAGGCAAGATCACATATTTACAGAACAGATTAAAAATCCTCCAAGTACAGGGATGCTAGGAATCTAGTAGTCAAGCTGGTATTTTAGCTTTGTGTCAAATTTCCCCTTTAATAAGGGGGGAGCATTCTGTTATCCTACCATTAGATCAGTCATGTTCTCAGATGTTACTTAGCTAAGATATGAAATTGTATTTTTCTTTAATGTAGCTGGCCCTGTGTACATCCTTGGTTTTTTTTTTTTTTTGGTCTGTCTGCCCTTATTAGAATGTCAGTTCCATAAAGGAAGAGATTCTGTGTGTTTTGCTTACTGTGATAGCTCTGGCTGGGACAGTGCCTGGAACATATTAGACTTAAGAATTATTTCTTGAATGAACACATCTTTTATGCAGTTGCTAAAACAATAAAAAATCATGACCGCACATTCCTGTTTCAGGAGTTTGGGAGAAAAAAAAGAATTGGAAAATTGGGGTAGGGGTAGCTCAAGTGGGAGAAACATTCTGAGTTCCAACTCCAGAACTGAAAAAAAAAAAAGAAAAGAAAAAAAGTATGGAAATTTAACATTTAAAAAAATTTTTTGATCCAGGTATAAAAAACCTAACTATTGTGACTCAGTTTCTGGAGTAGTTGCACTGGATTATTAATTATTATTATTATTATTATTCTGGCCTTCACTCTCCTTCAGTTTTTCATGCAGGATGTCCAAAACAATTTACTGGGTATTGACTGTAGTCCAAATCTGTGCTGCATGCTAAAGAGACAAAGGTGAAGAGGTGCCGTCCATGTCTTCCTGGGGGACAGATACTACTGAGTCATAGAAATGAGAAAGTTCTTCTGAGTACATATCTGGGGCCCAGTGTCCCCAGGGGGACTCATCTCTGATATGAACAGGGCCTTAGGAATTTGATATGTGACTTAATGCTGCATAGACTCACAGCCTGAAAACCAGATAGACACAAAAGAAACATCTGGTCAATGTGAGCATTCCCTGCATCCAGAGAGCAATCCAAATCACAATCAGTTGTTTGGATTGCATATTCTTAGGACTGCCTGAGCAGTGTAGATAATGCAGTGAAAACTTGTTGAGTCTGTTTACTTCCTCTGCAGTCATGTATTCATGGAACCTGCTTATTACAAGAGACCTTGAGTATTAATTATTGTGTTGGCTCACATTTATATTTCATCATATAAGGCTCTTGACATCATACCTATTTTTTTTCACTTGCAGATAAAGTGAAAATAAATTTTGCTGAATCTAAGTTTGTGCTTTTTTTATTCTTCTTAAAGTGGTGTTAATATCAAAATGCCTATCAACTCCAGTGGACCTGATTGGGTGACTGTGATTCCCAGGAGAATAAAAGGTAAAAAAGGAATAAGCTTGATGATTTGTTGGTTTTTTTGCTAAGTGGGTTGAGGTTCTGTCATTTCACTGATATTATAAATAAAATCTTTTTCTCTCTAATATGCCATGGTTACTTCTGGGCACAACTGAAAATATTAAAAGCTGATTTTAAAAAATCAGCTAGACCTTACATTCTATTTTTTTTTTTTTGGCAGCACTGAGCTTGAACTCAGGGCCTTATGCTTGCTAGGCAGATGCTCTACCACTTGAGCCACTCCACCACCCCTAGACATTACATTTTTAATTCTGGGTTTTTCTATTTATGCTTATGTGAAAGTTGCCTTTTTCCATCATCTCCCCTCTTTTTGTCTCCTCAGGAGTCTTTAGAGTTAGGTTTTTCAATATGGTAGTTACTAGCATGTGGCTATTAAAGTTGAAAATTTAGTCACATAAGCAGTAATTCCATCATGTTAGCCAGTACTTTACATAGAGTGTATTGATGGTTGCAAAAAGTTCTGTTGTACATTGCTGCTCTAGAGATATTGAAGAAGTGTAAAGTTGTCATGGCAAATTTTAAAATAAAAACCATTGAGGGCCAGGCATGGAGGCACAGACCTGTAATCTAAGCTACTTGAGAGGTGGAGACAGGATGCAGTCCAGGCCAAAATTAGTGAGATCCTCTCTCAAAAACAAGCCAGGTGTGTTAGTTCCTGTCTGTAATCCCAGCCCTGGCAAAGTTGGCAAGATGATTGCAAATACTTCATAGACGCGTATGGAAACAGATAGTGAAGCCTATTAATAATTCTTTTAGAAAGCGGGGAAGAGAATAGAGGGGTGAATTTGATCAAAGTACATTAGATGTATGTATGAAAAATATCATGATGAGACCTCTTCTATGATTAATGCACACTAATAAAAAAAAGGCAAACCGACTGAGGTGTGGTTCTAGTGGCACACTTGCCTGAGTTTAACACCAGCGCTGTCAGACAAACACACACAAGAAAACATCAAGTAGGGGCTGGGGATGTGGTTCAGCATGGTCTCTCTCTCTCTCTCTCTCTCTCTCTCTCTCTCTCTCTCTCTCTCTCTCTCTCACACACACACACACACACACACACACACACACACACACACACAGCGTTTTGTTGATGAGCAGTGCTGTTTTCCAAGTGCGCATTAGCAGCATCAGCATCACCAGGGAATTTACTAGAACTGAAAATTCTCAGTACCCATTTCAGATTACTGAGTCATAATCTGCCTGGTACGACCCCAGCATTCTGTATGTTAACAAACTTTGCATGTGGTTCTGATTCATTGGTACAATTAGCTGTCGTGATTTTTAGGAAGAATATTAAGGACAGTTATGTAGGTGGCAGGCAAGGTCCTTTTAGTTGTTAAAAGCAAAAGTATCCACCTAGTAGGTGCTGCAACCCCTCTTGAAATACTGTATAATCTAAATAAAATTTGCCTATGGCCATGATGCAGGTAGGGAACTGCCGTTCATATTTCTGGTTCCCACTGTTGTATGTCATAAGGCTTCTGTGTGTGTGTTGTGTGTGTGTGTGTTTTACTGGGTTTTGAACTCAGGGATTTGTGCTCTACCACTGGAGCCATGCCCCAGTCCTTTTGCTTTTAGTTTCTTTTTCAGATTGTCCAAACTGTGCTCAGTAGGCAGTCCTGAGTGCCAGGATTATAGGCATGAATCACCATGCCTGGCCCTGTTCTCAGTCTTTTTCTAATATTTCTGTATTTGATATACTTGAGTCAGATGAATTATTAACTTTAGATACATATGTAAAGCATCATTAGTGGAAATAACTTACCTTTTAACTGTCTGGGTTTGTTTCAGCCCTCTGGGCAAGACATCAGTAGGCATAGTGTCCCTCAGTAATTCTGCACTATAAACATCTCTATGTCTGACATCCCTGGGAGACCCTGTTCCACTACTTCATCTACCTATTTTCCCTCCATCCCTGTCTGGCTTGACCATGTTGCAGTGTCCCTGGATGACCTGTAGAGTGGTTAGTTGGGGGAGTGTTTATGGTTTACCTGCATCTGACAGGTCTAAGAAGTCAGCTAGAAAGTAGGTGAGCTTGTGAGGTACTATTCTGCTTAGAAGGAAGGCAGAGTCAATAACCAGTGAGGCTTTTAGAGGAAGAAACTTGTAACGCTGAAGAAGTAGAAGCACAATAGTTGGACTTGAATGAGAAAATCATTTTGTAGCAGGCACAAAAAGGGAAAGAAAAAGAGAATTTCTTTGTTTGTTGAAAGAGCCCAGCTTGAAGTTCACATTAGTGACCAGCAGGGGACACTCAAAGACCCTAAGTAAGGGCTCATATTCTCTTTCTATGCAAATGTTCTGTTTCTACTTAAACTTCCCCCCACTAATTTTAGCATTCACTAGATCTCAACTATAGCAATGATTTCTGTGCCATTCTAATGATGACTTAATATATCTCTCATTCTTTTAACATTTGTTAGTTGGAATTCTTTTGTAAGGAGGAGTTGTCCTTTTTTCCACATTTATTTGTGTATTTAGTTATTTTTCTCAGGTTGTTCTAGAATTAGAAACATTTTAAATTTGGTTTCTGTGCCTTACAACCACTCCACCTACCCCCCTGCCTTTTAAGACACAGTCTCACTATATAACCCAGGCTGTCCTTGAACTTAAAATCCCCCTGCATCAGCCTCCTGAGTGCTGGGATTACAGGCATGCACCACTGTGCCTGGATTCTGTACTTCCTTTGACAAGCTCTTATCCTTTTTATTGAGCACTTCTGCTCATTCTGGAGCCACAAAATAGTTTAGGCTCATCTTACTTTTTTTTTGCCTTATCTCAGAAGTTTCTAATCTTTGTACCTTTATTATTTCACTTAAGAATCCTGTATTTTGCAGCTTTCCCCCTGTGATTTTATTTAGTTATTGGTAGTACTGGGGTCTGAACTCAGGACCTCATGCTTGCTAGGTAGGTGCTTTGTACCACTTGAGCCACTCTGCCAGCCTTTTTTTTGTGTGTGTGTTGGTTAGTTTTGAGATAGGGTTTCCTGAACTGTTTGCTTGGGGCTGGCTTTAAACTGAGATACTCCTGATCTCTGCCTCCTGAGTAGCTAGGATTATAGGCATGAGCCACCAGCATCCAGTTTGACATTTTATTATTTATATGTTAATTAATTTCCTCTAAGGTAAAATTATTCCAAGATGCATATTTAGAATCTGGGATGCTTGAGGCTGTCAGTGCTACCACCGTGTGTGGGTCTCATTATTCCAGTCAAAAGCAAAGATTAGAGTAGACCAGCTTGTCAGAGGTATCTGGTTTCTAGCAGGCTTTCCCAGTGTTAGGACTACTGCTGAGCCTGCATTAACATCTGTACTGTGATCCCCACACACTCACAGCTAAATGACAACAGGACCCTGATAGAGTCTAACCTCATCAGAAACTTAAGCTTATACTTTTGGGCCGGTGAGCCCTCATTATGGTGAATGGATGACATGGGATGACACCCTTTGGAAGAAAATGTCAGCTATGGATTTTTAAGAGAAACCAAGACATCTTAGAGAAGCTAGGACATTACTTACAAATAATGAAAAATGTGTCTTCTGACTTTGCACAAAGATTTCATATCTGCCTTTATAGCCACCTTTCAGTAACCAGTTAAGTAATAACTCATTTTTATTTTTTACTTTTTTCAATACACATGAATAGTATACTGGGGGTTATCGAATCAATTTAAGAAAATTTTATATCTCAGTTGTTTTATGTGAAAATGTATTGACTTACAAGAAACACTGACTTAAAAATTTTTATTTTATTTTTTGAATTAGCATATATTAATAATGCAAGAGGATTTCATTGTGATAGTTCCATACATACGTACAGTGTACTGTGAAGAGCTTTAAATAACCTCAGGCTGCTTGAAATCACATTAAAATAATCAAGAAAATTTTTGTCCCATTTGACCATAAGGGGGCAGCATAGTATGTACTTTTCACATAAAAAAAAAAATCCCACAAAAACCACACTGTTACTATAGCACATGGCATGTTTAGAGAATAAGCCAGTAGCTCATGCCTGTAATCCCAGCTAGTAGGGAGGGAAGATTGGGAGGATTAAGGTTCTAGACCAGCCCAGGCAAAAACATGAGAAACAATTTGAAAAATAACTAGAAGCAAAAGGGCTTGGGGTGTGGCTTAAGTGGTAGAGCACCTACCTGGCAAGTGTAAAGCCCAGAGTTCAAATCCCAGTACCATCAAACAAGAAAAAAAAAACAACAAATGCTGAGTAATTGATTTGCTTTGCCTGACTAAATTCTGGTAGTAAATGTAATTAACATTTGCATGGAAATGATAATTGTTTCCTGTGTGATGTATACTTTTCTTTTTTAATATACTGTTGATAAAAATAAGCTGAACTTGCCAAATTAATGGCAGTAAAATTTAAATTCATAATCACTTTTAATTCTCACTCTAGTAAATGTTTTCTTTGGGCTGCAGGTATCTTCTCTATAGCTCTTTCTCTACAGCTTTCATGTACTAAGATGATGAGGAAACTTTGAGCAAGGTAAAGCCACCCTTGGTAACAAGTTGAAGTTTTTGTTTTACATGGTGTCTTGCTTTGTTACCCAAGGTGGTCTTGCACTTAATGGCTCAAGTGACCCTCCTACCTCAGCCTCTTGAGTAGCTGGGTCTATCGGTATAAGCTAGTACACGTGGCTCAGAAAATTATTTTGAATAAGCCAAATAAATATTTATTCTACATTCCTCTACATTTTCTTTGATAATCATTTTTGTCATAGCTTTTAAAAACACTATTCACTTTCCCATTTGAGTACTGAACCTACAAAGAACTAGCAGATGTCTAAGAAAAAAAAGAATTTAATATGCACTATCTTATCAAATAAGGCATTTTCTTTAAAGGGGATAAAAGACTAATGTTGAGTAAAAGGGATGATGTCAAGAAATCAAATAACATGAAAATAGTCACAGTCGGACTCACTTAAATTTAAATTTCTGAGTCATTTGCATTTCAAATTGTGGTTTAACAGGTGACTATTAAATGTTTGGATGATGACCAAGGTTGAACCTTGGGGTATATAAAAGGATTGGCGGTTTCTTAAAGATTGTACATTTGAATAATTGTTAGAAATGACTACTCATTTCATTATTGTTAGGACTAAATACATACCTTCAAAAAAAGTCAAAAGAAATGACTGCCATCTATAAACATCTATTTTTGAGAAGTGATCTACTACAATAGTTAAGAACCTGGGCTCCAGGGCTCACGTACTCGTTCATCTCTGGGACCGTACTCAAGTTACCTAACCGATCTAAAGGTCAGGGATAGCAATAGGACCTTCTTTGAAGAGTTATTGTGAGCTTTTTGAGGGATAATATGTCTAGCACAGGGCGCACATGCAAGAAATAAGTTATTAGCATGTTTTGAAGCAGATAAAGTGTGACATTTTCTAATAGGTGTTAAGATGTTGGCTCTCTGAAAGGTGTCCTTCTGCTTGTGTTATGTGTAGCTAGGCTACAAGAGTGAGTACACATTGCTGATGCTTTTTTAGTATTTCTTAAGTGTAAAGACCTTCTGAACCTTTTGTATTATGAAGATTAATCCTTTACACGTGATTGGCTTTTTTTCTGTATTTAAGTGGGGATGGTTTTCTGAATTAAAATTTGAATTTAGGACTCATGGATTAAAACTTCCTTTTCATTGACCTGAGAAACATTGTACTGATACTACTGTACATGTATAAAAATATGAAATTAAGTTAGTTCCCCTATTCTAAAATAATGCTAGACAAATGCTTGCATTCACACATTTCCTTGGCTTTTGCCTTCCTTTACTTTTGATTTTGATAAAAACAAACATAATTAGAGGGAATACTCAAGTCCCTTTTTTCCTGTTTCCACAAATACCCCTGCAACCACTTCACATCTTCCCATTTTTGCACAAAGGAGAACCTTTGTGTATCAGGGGAAAGCCTGGGATCTCTTTGAGATATTACAGCAGGAAATGTTGCCCATATGCTAGCAGGCTAGCAAATATGTGGGCATAATTATATTTCTTGTAACATTTTTCATCTCTTTTTTGGAGGAGAATTTCAGAATGTATTATGTTTTCCCTTTTTCTTTACAGAAACTAACAACCTAGAAGTATCTCAAGGCTCAGGAACTTTTCCTTCTGGGTATTATTACAAAGATCATTGGAGGCCCAGAAAGTTCAAGATGCGCCAGTTTAATCACCCTGACAACATTACAGAATGCTTAAAAAGAAAAATGGTGTATTTATTTGGTGACTCAACAATTAGGCAGTGGTTTGAATACCTCACAACGTTTGTTCCAGGTTGGTGCTTTGCTTTTTGTTTCATAAACGATTTCCCATACATATGAATCAGATTTGAAATAAGCAGTTACTTCTCTGTAGGACCAAAGAGGTATCTTAACCCTAGGATGATTTGTGACAGTTTTGATCAGTAGTGGGGTTTTTTGTATTGGTAGAGGAAGAATTGGGATCTCATTGGGGTTTATCCGACTGATTAACTGTATAACCTTTGACATTTACTTCTTAGGACTTCATTTCTCCTTATGTCAGATGAGACAGCTGGATCATGTTTCCTCACAGGTGTCTTTTACTTCTAAAATTCTGAGTTATAAAACAGGTGGTCATTTCCAGTTGGTTTTCTTCTAGTTCTGTTTGGTCCAACTCCAAGTTTATAGAGGATTTAACTGGAAGAAAGCAGCCAAACTACTAAGTTCATTTTAATGAATCCTTGTAGCAAAGCCATCCATTGGGCCTACAATTGGTATGGCTCTGAGATAGAGCTGGGTTCCTACTGAGGGAGTCTGGGTAAGTTCCTACATTCTTAGCTTTTTTTTGTCTTTTCCTTTTTCTTTGTGCTGGGCATTGAAGCAGGGCCTTGCACATGGTAGGCAAGTGCTCTGACACTGAGCTACATTCCCAATCCTAGCTTCTTAAATTGCTTTGCTTGGCTCTGAGACTACTCACCAGACTGAGAATAAAACTTCACTGTTTGGAGCCCCACCACTTATTCATAATGGGTATTCTCTTCTTTCTGGGAGGGGTGTGGAGAGATGGATCCTGGGGAACAGAAATAATGACCCTGTTTACAATGTAAAGAGCTGGTAGTTTTGTGGGGATGGGTTTTTTGATGGTTAGTAAAGGCAGGGCCTTTCAAAAAGTAAACACTCATGGTTTATTTTGAGTTGTTTGATATTTTTCTATTTATTATATATTTACTTCCAAGTTTAATTAAAAAAATTTTTTTCCCTATAATTCTAGCTACTTGGGAGGCTGAGATCAGGAGGATCAAGGTTTGAGGCCAGCCTGGGCATAGTTCATGAGCTCCCCATCTCCAAAAGAAGCAAAGCAAAATGGATTGCAGGTGTGGCTCAAGCAGTAGAGAGCCTGCTTTGCAAGCATAAAGCCCTGAGTTCAAATCTCAGGCTTACTAAAAATAATTTTTTTATTAGCATACATTAATAACACAAGGGGTTTCATTGTGATAATTCCCTAATAGGTACAACGTACTTACCTTTCTATTATATTTGTTCAACTCCCTCCCTTTTTCAAACAGTATTGGTGGGTTTCATTATGTTGTCTTTACATGTATATATAACATGCTTCTTCCTCTTCACCCACCCAGTACCTTCTCCTGTTCCCCCTCCCCCTCCCACTGTTCCCTCAGATAGTCCCCATTTTATACTCATGTCTCATTATCCTCATGATCATCATCATTTCAGGTCTAGATTCCACACACGAGCAAAAATGTGATATTTGGCTTTTTGAGCTTGGTCTGTCTTGATCTCCAGATCCATCCATTTTCCTACAAATGACATAATTTCATTCTTCTTGATGACTGAATAATATTCCATTGTGTATATAAACCACATTTTCTTTGTCCATCCATTGGTTGTTGGGTATCTAGACTGATTTCACAGCTTGGCTGTTGTGAACAGTACTACTACAACACGGGTATGCAGATATCTCTCTTGTATATTGATTTATACTCCTATAGACCCAAGAAGGTATGAAGGGTCATAAGGTAAGTCAATTTTTAGTTTTTTGATGTACCTCCTTATGGAACCTTCAGTATGGAAATCCATACTGATTTCCATAGTGGTTGTACCAGTTTACATTTCTTCCAACAGTGTATTTGCATCTTTGCCCTAGCATTTTTGCTAGCATTTGTTATTGTGTTTGTTTTGCAAGCTTCGTTTTATTTTTGAATAGGCATATGTTAATAATATGAAGGAGTTCATTGTGATAATTCCATATTGCATACAGGGTCCTTTGTACAATTCACCCCCTCCTTTGTATTCCCATTCTCTCTTTTCCTCTCCCCCCATCTTTAGAAACAGTGTTTGGTGGGTCTCATTATGCTGTCTTCATATGTATATATAAAGTGTACTTCCATCCTCTTCACCACTAAGTGTCCTTTCCTTTCCCTCTCCTCTCTTTCACTATCCCCCCGAACTCTTCCAATTACATTCATGTCCTATTATTAATATCACCACCATCATTTCAAGTCTAAGCTCCACAAATGAGGGAAAATATGCAATATTTGGTTAACTTGGCTTATCTCATTTAGCATGATGATCTCCATTTCCATCTATTTTGCTGCTAATGACATAATTTCATTTTCTTTATGGCTGAGTAATAGTCCATGGTATATGTATTTGTATGTATACACACACCATATTTTCTTTACTCATTCCTTGATTGTTGGGCACGTTGGCTGATTCTGCAGTTTGGCTATAGTGAACAGAGCTGCAATAAACATGGGTGTGTAGGTATCTCTCTTGTACATTGATTTACTCTCCTTCAGATACATGCCCAAGAGTGGAGTGGCAAACCCATAAGTTAAATCTATTTTTAGTTTATTTGAGGAACTCCAAATTCATTTCCATAGTGGTTTACTAGATTATATTCCTGTCAACAGTGTATGAGGGTTCCTTTGCCCCCAGCATCCTGGCCAGCATTTGTTGTTTGTTTTCTTGATGACAGTCATTTTCACTGGGGTGAGATGGAATCTCAGTGTAGTTTTTGGTTTTCATTTCCTTTATAGCTAATGGTGTTGCACATTACTTTATGCATTTTTAGCCCTTTGCATTTCGTCATAGAACTGTCTGTTCAGTTCATTTGCCCATTTATTAACTGGACTATTTATTCTTTTGGTGGGTAATTTTTTGAGTTCTTTGTACATTCTGGATATTAATCCTTATTTGTTGAATAGCTGGCAAAGATTTTCTCCTATTCTGTGTGTTGTCTCTCAGTTCTGGTAATTGTTTCCTTTGATGTGCAGAAGCTTTTTAGTTTGATGTAATCTCACTTGTCAATTTTTGTGCTTATTTCCTGAGCATTTGGAGTACTGTTCAGAAAGTAATTGCCTATGCTTATATTCCAGTATTTACTCTTTGTTTTCCTGTAGTAGTTTCAAAATTTCAGCTCTTACATTAAGATCTATTTTGAATCAGTTATTATACAGAGTGAGATAGTCTAGTTTCAGTCTTCTTCATGTAGATAACCAGTTTTTCCAGCACTGTGTTGAAGAGACCATCTTTTTTTCCAATATATGTTTTTGACTCTTTTTGTCAAAAAATCAGATGGCTGTAGCTGTGTTTATTTCTGGGTGTTCTGTTTTGTTCCACTAGTCTTCATGTCTGTTTTTATGCCAATACCATGCTGTTTTGTAACTATGGATCTGTAGTAATGTGAAAATAGCTTTGCTAACAAAGTAATCTTCAGCTTCAAATCCCCTCAAAATCACAATGTCATTCTTTACAGAAATAAAAAAAACAATCCTAAAATTCACCTGAAAGCATAAAAGACCCTGAATGCTGAGAGTAATCCTGAGCCGAAAGAGAAATGCTGGAGACACCAAATTTAATTTTTAGAAGTAAAGGGGGAAATAAGTATCACCCCAAAAGTTGAAAAGTCAGCTCCAGTTTTTTTCTTGAAATAGGTATAGTTGACTTCTAAGAATCAGGAGGAGGAAATACTTTGTGTGGCATGATGCTGACCAGGCATGGCTTTCTACATGCCTGCTGTTGCTTGCTGCTCAGTTTCTAATGACATAACTTGATATTTCCTTTAATAGCAATTACCATGTTGATGTTTTTTATCATTTCCCATAAGACCCTTTGCAGACACATTTTTCATTTGCTAAAAATAAGGCCTTGGGTGGGTGATTGATCTGTATCAAAATAATTAAAATGATAGTTTGAGTTTTTATGTATATTTAGTTTAAATAGGACCTGGTGCTAAGTAGTAGTGAAATAAATAGGAAAAATCTAGAAGAGAAGTTTGGGACTGCAGGAAGAAAAAAGTGAAGTTTGCCTTAACCTGTAAGAGAGGAATAGAAGACAATTATAGTTTGATGCTACCTCTTTAGAATTGACTGTAAACTCCCTGAGGGCAAGGACTGTGACATACATCTGACCATTGCTGGCATGTGGTTCCTGTGGTAGTGGGCACTGAACAGGTGTTAGATTTCAATGGAATTGCTTTGCCAACATTTACTTAGTCTGTTTCTCTGTAAGGCACTTGTGGGAATATTTAAGGAGATGAGGTAGATCCTCTTTCCTCATGAGGCATATGTCAAGTGATAGATTGTATAGTTTTCCCTTGGGGAAAATATTTTAACTTTAAGCAATTGTTAGCATATATTAATTGTACAAAAAAGTGGGTTTCATTATGACATTTTCATACATGTATATAATTACGTAGAGTTTTTTAGGAGTAACAGTGGGTCCCATTGATTCCTGGCATCTTTGGAATATTTCAGAGGAGTTGAAACTTGAACCACAAGTTAAGATAAAGGAAGAGGGAGAGAAGGAAATTCTAGGTGTGCTGTTGCTTCTGTTATTTCATGATAGAGCTAGAAGTTCTCCATAGGACATTAATGTGATTTTCTAACCATAGAGTAAAGAAGTCAAAAGAAAGAGGTGCTTCTTATGTTTATTGCAAAAAAGAGGAACTTGCTTTTTTTTTAAGAAATACAATTTAGATTGCTTTATTTTATTTATTTTTTACATTTTTATTAGCATGTTAGTTGTATAAAAGAATTTGTGATATTTCCATGTACACGTACAATATGACCCAATCAAATTTACTCCCTCAACCCCAGTACCAGCCAGAAAACCCCTCTATCTCCTCCTTTTATTCCCTCTCCCCCTTCTTAAAACAATTTCAACAGGTTTTATTGTTCTGTTTTCATGAATGTATATAATTGGACCATTTTCACCCTTCCTTCACCCTCTCCTTTTGGTCCTCCCTCCTGCTGATACTTACCCCAAACAGAACCAGTTATACATTCCTGTCATTTATTTTTAAGACTAGATTCCACATAAAAGGGAACATGTGATATTTGTCTTTCTCATCTGGCTTATTTCACTTAAATGATGATCTCTCGTTCCATCCATTTTTCTGCAAATGACATAATTTCACTCATCTCCATTGTGTATACATACCACACTTTCTTTATCCATTCATTGGTTTATAGGTACCTAGGCTGATTCCCTATTTTGGCTATTGTGAGTAATGCTATTATAAATATAAACATGGATATGCAAGTATTTCAACTGTATGTTGACTTACATTCTTTCAGATACATGCCCAAGAATGGTATAGCAGATCATATGGCCATCATATCCATGGTGGCCATAATAATGTACATTATTTCTTAAAGTTTATTGTATTCTAACTTAATTTCTTTCCATTTAGTTGTTTGAGACAGGCTGCCCCATAACTTCAATTTTCCTACCTCAGCCTCCTAAATGCCATCATGCCTGGGTTAAAAGTTTTATTTTTAATTAATAAATAACTATATATATTTATGGGGGTACAGTGTGATACTGTGATATCTGTATACATTGTGGAATGATTAGGTCAAGCTTATTTACATACTTACGCTTTACCTATTTATTTGTAGTGAGAACATTTAAAATACACTCTTTTGGTAATTTTGAAATATACAATATGTTGTTAGTAACTATAGTCACCAGGCTGTGCAGGAGGTCTAAAAAAACTTACTCCTTTTTAGTCAGGAGAGAGTGACTTATGTTTATAATCCTAGCTACCTGGGAGAATGAGATTGGGAGGATTGCAGGGGCCAGCCTAGGCTAAAAATTACTGAGACCCCATCTCAAGGGAAAAAATTTGGGTGTAGTGATGTACACCTGTCATCCCAGTAATGATGGGAAGTGTGACATAGGAGGATCACAGTCTAGACTGCCTAGGCAAAAAGCAAGACCCTATCTCTAAAATAACCAGAGGAGAAAGGGCTGAAGGTGTGGCTCCAGTAGTAGAGCATCTGCTTAGCAAGTGTGAAGTTCAAACCCCAGTACCTCCAAAAAACCCAAACCAAAACAGAATAAAACTTACTTTTCTTGTCTACCTAAACCTGTGTATCCTTTGATTAACTTCTACCCAACCCCTCGCCCCCACCTCCAGAAGCTCCCCAGCCTATGGTGAGTTTCTACTCTACTAAAAGTGATAAAGTTTTTAAGATACCACGTATGAGTGAGATCATGCAGCATTCTTTTTTGTACCTGGTTTACTTCTCTTAGCATAATGTCTTCCAGGTTCATCCATGTTATAAGCAGCAGATTCTCAAAAAGAGGTATTTGGTTAGTAATATGTGTTCATAAAACAGAAGATATAGCCCTTGTCCTGGAAGATGTAATATTTATTTGTTAGAAGAATAAAGTATAAATGCAACCTTGATTCTTAAGTATTCAGTGATTAGTGCAAATAGCAAGATTTCTTGGCTTAATATAGGTAAGTAAATGGGGTATTTTGTTCTTGAGGCATGGACATACACATAGAATGTATTACTGATGGTATTGTCATATGTTTAGAGAATGATTTGAAGAGTAAACATGTTAGGTAAAGGTCATTTGGTTCAGAATGGGCAGGGTGTAGTGAAATATTCCCTTTACGTTTATATATTATACATTTTTGTTGTATTTTATTTTAAAAACTGTTCTTTGAAGCTACTTGGTAAGGAATATTAAAAATATATATACTTAGTTTTAATGTTTTCACAAATTTGAGTTTTCCTTGTTTCAGATTTAGTGGAATTTAACTTGGGTAGCCCCAAGAATGTGGGTCCCTTCCTTGCAGTGGACCAGAAGCACAACATCCTGCTCAAATACCGCTGCCATGGTCCGCCTATCCGCTTCACGACTGTCTTTAGCAATGAGCTCCATTATGTGGCAAATGAACTGAATGGGATTGTGGGAGGGAAGAACACAGTGGTTGCCATAGCTGTATGGTCTCACTTTAGTACCTTCCCCTTGGAAGTGTACATCCGGAGGCTCAGGAACATCCGCCGAGCAGTGGTCCAGCTCCTGGATCGAAGCCCTAAGACTGTGGTGGTCATCCGAACAGCCAATGCTCAAGAACTGGGGCTGAGGTGAGCCTTTTCAACAGCGACTGGTACAACCTTCAACTGGACACTATCCTTCGGAGGATGTTCTCAGGGGTTGGAGTGTATCTTGTTGATGCCTGGGAGATGACTCTGGCCCATTATTTACCCCACAAGCTGCATCCAGATGAAGTTATTGTGAAGAACCAGCTGGACATGTTCTTGTCTTTTGTGTGCCCTTTGGAGACCTAGCCTGCCCTCAAAGGGACTAGAGTAATCACATTCAGCGACATTCCCAGTTGACATGCATTATAGAAAGTTTGTGAATGGCTACATTGTGAGACGCCTGCCATCAATATGTACAAAATTTCAAAAAGAGCTGTACTTTATGTAATGACTTAAAAAAGATCTTCAGAAAATGCAGGCTACATTTTTATCTACCTATAGGATTTTTTTCCAATCTTGACTTAGCCATGGTAAAACTCATATTAACAGCATCTACACACTGAATTGCTCTTGTAAGCAAAGATGCTAATGAGTGTATTTGAGTGAGCTTCTCCTGCAAATGGAGATTACTGTGCTAAAGCATGTAGGAAATGCTCTGATATAAATGAAGGGGACAAAGTTGGTTGCAGTGGATGTTTGTAGCTTACCTGGTAATGGAAATTGAACACATCTTCATGAGTAGGATGAGTGGTCCATCTTCAGCGGGTAAACTGGAGAGAGCTTATAGTCAGAGGGTCCTGTGAATTCACTGAAGACTGCCATGTCTCTGGAGTTTCTCTTGATCTACCTTTTCTGAATTACTTGAAAAGGCCAAAGTGCTTGTTCAGAATTTTATAGTGAGGATATTAAAAATGTCCTGCTTTTATCTAGGAAAGAAGCAAAAGGGAAATGTGAAAGCAGTATGTAAAAAATCTCTGCTTCGAATTGATATTTGCATTGGATAATTATTTCTTATTTGATTCAGCTAAATTTTATGTGATGAATACTTACTACAGAATAACCACTTTTGGAACTGAAGGGGAAGTCTATAAACAGAAGTTTATTTTTATGTTCTGAAGTTTGCAGGTTTTAAGAATTGACTTTGATGTAAAGAATACTACTGATTATTATAAAATTGTATAAGTTTTTTCCATCAATTTCAAGTGTTTCTTTTTATTTTGAACTATATACCAAAATTAGAAATGAAAAACTAAGAAATTAATAAAAATAGATATTAATACCCATGACAGGTATTTCTTGATTTGAGCATAAGGTATATGTATTGTCTCATGCTTGGAAGTAAAAAGCTGCTATTCCTACTTTGTGTGTGTGGGGGGGAGGTGGTTATTGGGGATCAAATTCAGGGCTTTGTGCATGTGAGGCAAATCTCTACCAACTGAGCTACATCCCCCAAACCCACTACTGGCTATCTGGAAATACTGGAATTGTAATTTTATTGACTTTAACTTACTAATTTTAAATAAGTTTAAGTTAATTTGGGGTCATTTATTAAGATTACAGTTTAGTTTTAGTTGTCTCTAAATAGACATGTAGAGAAACTTGGGAGATTTTGGAGATGAAGACAGATTTTAAAAACATGAAACATAGGCACTCTTTGAAGACTGGGTCAAAGAGTTTGGATTTTTAACTTAAAATACAGGGTCTAAGATCTTCCTTTCCTATCCTTAAAACATATTTTATGGGCAAAGAAAGTTTTAATTGCTTTCTAAGTCTGACAAGGACCAATGCAGTTAAATATATTAAGACAGCTTAATTTTAATGGTCCTTAAGCTCATGATATTTGATAGAAATGCAGAATTAGAGGCCGTACCTCCAGGAGTTAATGGAATATGCAGTGGTGATATCCACATTTTTTGAAAAACACTGACAAAGGGAAGAGGGAAGATAGAGCCAGAGAAATAAAGCTCTTCAATGGTTTTACCAATAATTTAATTCTGATCACAATCCAATAGTGCAGGTGATATTAGCTCCATTTTATAGATGAAGAACTCTGTTTTTGGATTGAACTAAGTTATGTAGGAATCCATAGCCCTTCTTAGCTGCAATTTGTTAACAATTCTGTAAAGAGGTTTGTTTTTTTTTGAGGATTTTGGACATTTTCTCAAGGAAGATTGTTGAAGGAGGCTAAGAAGTTGCTTTCCAAGGGGAATTCAAGAAAGAGAACACTGCTTCTCAGTGGTTTGGAGTGATGCTTCTTGTTTGTGTACCTGATTTCTTGCAAACTTGATTTGCTTACACAAAGTCCTAAAGATTTGATGAGTTTCTTGAGATACTCTCAGTTTTGTCTTTTTTCACTTTGGTGTGGAAATTTTAAGAGATTAAAATATAACCAAATCTTTCTCAGAATAATTGGGTATAGGTTGAACATCTCTAGTTTGAAAATCCAGAATACTCCAAAATCCAAAACTTTTTGACATGATACCACAAGTGGAAAATTTTACACCTGACCTCATGTGATGGGTCACAGTCAAAATGTAGTTGCACTAAAGATGTTATGTAAAATTACCTTCAGGATATATATATCTATATTTATATATCTATATATATATAGATATATATAGTATATGAAACAAGTTTTGAAATTAGGCATATATATGTTTGTATATATATGCAGATATTCCAAAATGCAAAATCTCAAGCACTTCCTTTTTTTAAAATTTTTATTTTATTCATATGTACATACAATGTTTGGGTCATTTCTCCCCCATTCCCACCCCCTCCTAAGCCCCTCCCACCCCCTCCCTCTTCCCCCCTACCCCCTGGCTATCTGGCAGAAACTATTTTGCCCTTATCTCATTTTGTTGATGAGAGAATATAAGCAATAATAGGAAGGACCAAAGGTTTTTGCTAGTTGAGTTAAGGATAGCTATACAGGGAGTTGACGCACATTGATTTCCTGTACATGTGTGTTACCTTCTAAGTTAATTCTTCTTGAACTAACCTTTTCTCTAGTTCCTGGTCCCCTTCTCCTATTGGCCTCAGTTGCTTTAAAGTATCTGCTTTAGTTTCTCTGCATTAAGGGCAACAAATGCTAGCTAATTTTTTGCGTGTCTTACCTGTCCTCATACCTTCCTTGTGTGTTCTGTCTTCATCATGTGCTCAAAGTCCAGTCCCCTTGTGTGTTTGCCCTTGATCTAATGTCTGCATATGAGGGAGAACATACGATTTTTGGTCTTTTGGATCAGGCTAACCTCATTCAGAATGATGTTCTCCAATTCCATCCATTTACCAGCGAATGATAACATTTCGTTCTTCTTCATGGCAGCATAAAATTCCATTGTGTATAGATCCCACATTTTCTTAATCCATTCGTCAGTGGTGGGGCATCTTGGCTGTTTCCATAACTTGGCTATTGTGAATAGTGCTGCAATAAACATGGGTGTGCAGGAAGTACTTCCATTTCTTAACTATTTCAGATAAAGGGTACTTAAGCTGTACAATAATTTAATTTTTTATGAAAATTTTATTTTAGGCTAGTATCAAATAGTTGTGAAAATTAGCACATCAGCCCAAATAGTTTGTTTTAAATATATTTCCCATCATGGATATAAAGGGAATCATAATTTTTTAAAACTACAATATCTAGAAGAAAAATCAGTGGATAAAATCCACAATTCTGCCTTAAGAATGCAATGAATATTAGCATTTTCTCGCAGGTTTTTAATCACATGCAGTTGCCCTCATATCTGTGAGTTCCCTATTAGTGGATTCAACAAACTTCAGATATATAGTGAACAGACAGACTTTTCTTGTTATTATTTCCTGTATAATACAGTATAACACCTATTTACACAGCATTCATATTGTTTCAGGTATTATAAGTCATCTAGAGAAACTGAAAGTGAAGGGAGGATATGCATAGGTCATATGCAAATACTGTACCATTTTATATACGGGACTTGAACATTTTCAGATTTTGGTAGGCCTAGTTGGTACCAAAATCCTAAGAGACCTCTGGAGTTACAGAGAATATGTAACTTGGATCTTTGTAAGTTTAACAATGCAGTATAGTTTTGGTGTTGAAATTAAAAAGGGCTGCCTAATAGTTCTGCTAATGATATTACATAAGATGGTTGGATGTTTAGGTTTTGTTTTTTTGGTAATATTGGGGCTTGAACTCAGACTGACTCTTGGCAGTCAAGTGCTCTACCACTTGAGTTATGCATCTAGTCCTTTTACTTTTTAGTGTTTTTAGAGATAGGGTCCCCTTTTTCTCTTACCCCCCTGCCTGTGGTCCTCCTACATTGACTTCCCCTAGTCAATTGAGATTACAGGCTTGTACCACCCTGCCCTCCCAGATGTTTAGACATAATAAAATAGTAAAACTTTTATGTATTATATCATTGGATTGCAATATGACTCTATTTTGAAGTGACAGTATAACAATGAATCTCTTAGTACAGAACTGAAATGACCTATGTAATGTTACTGTGAAAGGGAGAACCCATAATAAGGTCCTATGCAAATTATATTTTATAAAAGTTATCATAAGAAGAGTAACCTTTCTTTAGCAAATACAAAATAGACCTTTGGTGTTCCAAGGTGATCAGTTTTACCTTTTTTATTGGAAGTACTGGGGCTTGAACTCCAGGCTTTGTGCTTGCTGGGCAAGCATTCTACTGCTTGAGCCATGCCTCAGCCCAGTTTTACCATACTTAATAACCACAATTTTACTAAATACTATTTTTTGTGTGGTATTGGGATCAGACCCAGGGCCTCATGAATGCTAGGCAAACACCACTGAGCTATATCTCCAGCTCATAAATACTATTTGATTGACATTTCCTGGGTTTAGGTATTAAGTTTCAGATGGATAAATCAGGGTACTTCACAAGAACAAATATGGTAAGCCTTTATATATTCATGTGTTACATGTTAGATGCTAGTGTCTGTTTCTGGACCCTGATAAAGGAAATGGCAATGACTGAGAG